ATGCCTTGGTGATTGGCTATTTAACCATATTATTAAGATATGATTTGGACCATTTTTCCTGAAGGTAAAACCAGAATTACAAGGTTGTGTTTTGCAGCTGAATTGTATGTTTCCCCATTTTCACAGATCTCTTTTCCTATGACAAGAGGCCCATCAAAGACAAAACAGTGTGATAGTAATATCTCCACAAAATCTCTAAGAACATTGAGGGCCCTGAGACCTCTTCGAGCACTGTCTAGATTTAAAGGAATAAAGGTATTAAATATACAGTCCTTCCTTCCTTCCCTCTTTGATAATATTTATTCCAGAGATTAATGTTACGCTTCAAATATGTCCATCTTTTGGAACTAGAAAGTTTTATTTCGGAGGAACATGGTTGATGCATTGTTTCAGCCAGGCCTCCCTCTCTTTCTGTTCTGAGTATGGCAGCTTCCTTCAGCCTGAACACCCTCCAGATAATTTGGACTACAACTCCTATCATGCTCCTATCATGCTCAGTCACCTGTTGACTACTGTAGTGCATGCTGCTTGATAAGACCTCTATTAAGCTAGCTTCTTTCTTACATTTCATTATGTTTCTTTTTTGCTTCTGCTTGACACATCTGGCATGAGCAAAGTTCAAGGCTCTGAACAGAAGCACAGGATATAGCATGATCTAGGCCAAATGGCAGAATGTGTGTTCCAGCCACTAGAAGGAAACTATCCATACTGATAATAATCTCCTACAGTACATTTATAAACAGTGTTCATGATATTTTTTCCTGTTGAATTGTGATTGTGATTGTCTGACCACAACTCAGCCCAGCCTTAGCAATTTTGTGGGATGAGTTGGGTTATTACTCCATTTTCCCACTAGAATCAGGACAATGAAGACAATCATGATAACATTTGTGATGAGACCTTTGAACTCCATGATATGCTAAATGAAGCAGGAGGACTGGGCCCAGTTAATGAGAGAGCAGCTAAAAACGATAGTGTGCAGAAGAGGATGCTATGCAACTTAAGAATGGGTTCAAAGTAGGGCATGATGCAATACGTACTCAAGAAGTAATAGCTTGAAAGGCAGGAACATTGATGAACATTTAAGATTCTAAGGAGGCTGAAAAGGAAAAACATTTGCTGCTACTGTAGTCAAATTTAGCCGCATATTTGAATAATGCTGTTTTATTGAGCTTACCTTGCTTTTATATTGAGAATTTATTATTCAAAATACTGCCCAGTGGAAAAAAAATCCTCCTCTGGGTATATAGCAGCACCTGTCTCTGTCTGAGATGGTTTGAAACTTTTAACTCATTGATCATGCTTTTTAGTTCACCCAGATCCTCCTGATTTTTAATGAAGGAAAACCCTTTGAAGCTTCAGCTGGTCCAGAATGCAGTGGCACGCACAGTTTGGGATGGACCATGGTTTGCCCAGGTTACACTGCCATAACAGTAGGCTTCCGGTGCAATTCAAGGTGCTGGTTATCACCTCCAAAGCCCTGCATGGCACAGGCCGGGTTGTCTGCAGGGCCGTCTATCTCCGAGGGCCTTTGCCTGTCCCAACAGATCCAGATGGGCTCCAGGTCCCCTCTATTAAACAGTGTCATCTTGTAGGCCTGGAAAGTTGTGCCTTCTCTGTCACAGGGCTTGCCCTCCAGGATAGCCTCCCCCACGGCTTTTTCCAGAATAAAGTGGTTTGTGTGGTTGAGTTTGCTATACGATGCCTTGGTGATTGGCTATTTAACCATATTATTAAGATATGATTGTTTTAACGCTGTTTTTGCCAAAGTAGGTTTTATTATATTGTTTTTGTTGACTAATGTGAGCTCCCCTCATGTGTTAGGTGGGGAGCTAGATATATATTTTGTTACATAGAAAAACACATAGGAAGAGTATTCATGTGTTGTTGCTATTTATTTTTGCAATGGGAATTGATTTTGTATCTCCATTTTTTTTCCCTTTAAGGTTGTTGTGAACGCCCTTGCCTGTGCTATCCCTTCCATTGGAAATGTGCTACTTGTCTGCATTGTTCTCTGGCTCCCCTTTAACATCTTAGGAGTGCAGCTGTTTGGAGGGAAATTTTCATGTAGGAATACTGAAAATAAGACCAATTGCATTAATAACACTGTCAACTTTGATCATGTTGGGATTGGGTATCTGGCTCTCCTTCAGGTGGTATGTTTAATAAAATGATTATTAAATACCTTTCATAAGGTGCATATATGCAGCCAAAGTATGTTATTAGTAGCAGACTATTGAACGTTGATTTGTGGGGAAATTTGCTTTGGTAAATAAGCTTTGAGGAGAGCTTGAAAAAAGCAGCGCTGGGAAAAGAAAACTGAATAGCAATTAAAATATCCCTGGGCTATGCACAGAGTCCAAATGCAACACTTCGTGTTTACACTGCAGAGTAGAACAGCAGGTTGATCATAGTTAGCAGCAATGTGATGGCTTCTAGGTATCTAAACCCAGCATTTCATAAAAATAGTGAAACAAATCTTCTGCCTAGGAAGGTATATTATAAATAAAATTGATAATAGTCATAATTAGTCCCCCGAACTTTAGCAATAAAAAATGGACAACTTCACCTAATAAAAAAGGCTTTGAGTCTTGCTGCTTGAGCAGAAGTTGGTCATCTGTTTTTTTCTTTTACATATCAGGCAAAACATGCTTCTCTTTTGATATGGTTCCTTTGCCAAACCAGGTAGGGTGGGAACGCTAAATTTATGTTTCTGTTTCCATTCCATTCCCAAATTGGGCGTTTCCAAAAGATTTGATGTTCCGGACAGAGAAAATGGATCAGAGGAAGTGAATACTGCCCCCCATCTTAACTTCTCGTGCTCTTTCATTTCAAATTATGCTCCTCCAGCCCAGTTGCCCTATTTGAAGTGAATTAGGCAGGAAAACTAGATGCTCAAAGTGACACAGCATATAAAAATAAGGTGTGGGAGAGATCACTCCCCTCCATCATTTTATATATCTATGTTTCTTAAAAGTCTTTTAATTATGTTTGCGACTGCCTTACCGGAGGTCGTGGAATGGTCTTATGTGGAATTATCCAGGAATGTGGGAAACTGAATACTTGTTCTTCGTGTCTAGCAAAGATTTTAAATACTCCTGAAGAAAAAGTAGCAAATCAATTTCGTTCTGAGTACAGAACAGTTCCTCGAGCGGCAGACAGGAAAATGTTATAAGGATTTAGAGAACACAGTAAGGTCTACCTCTATCAGACAAATTAGGGGGGAAAAAAATAGAAAACTTTAATAATTTGGCTTACTCATATCTTTATATTTTTTATCCAGGCAACATTTAAAGGCTGGACGGACATTATGTATGCTGCAGTAGATTCAGCTAATGATGTAAGCCATGAAAATGAAGTTGCAACATTTCACCTTTTTACAAATATTTTCCTGCTTACTTAGCAATCTTGCACTATTGTCCCAAACTGTATTTTTCCAACTTGAGCATTGGAGAAGCTCTGGGATAATATTAACAGATCTTAAAAGCTGGTTAACGGTGTGGTAAGAAATTGATGTTGGTCAGTTTGTATTGTTTAGGTATAGATTTGGATTTAAAAACTGAAAAATAAAAATGTTCAAATTTGGGAAACCCTATTTTAGGTGTTAGACTCTTATACCACGCAGAAAGCTCACCTGACCTGAATGTCTGTGAAATTAGTGGCAAAGAAAATGTTAAAAGTAGCACAGGTTCACACATAATGTTAAGCCAGGATTTTTAAACTCATGCTTCGTTAGGCCGTAATGACTGGGGCCACACATCTTGCTAAGCCGTAATGGATTGATTCAGGCATTACTGTAAACTAACAAGAAACAATCTATGCTATAGTTTAGCATGACGTATGAATCCTGCCATTCTTTGCCACTGCAACCACCGCAGCTCATGTATAGGATAGGAAATCCAGCAGATTTCCAAACTTTCCCTGCTTGGAGCTCTGAAATAGTTATTTTCATAGCTTCCATTTGGATATTTAGTTAGATGGCTGATTGGTAACAAAATAATTATTCTATCCTCGTTGGAGTCTAACTGCCAGTGGGTTCTAGATCAAGCAGGAGCCAGCGATGCTAGGGACACGCTTAGATGTCAAAGAAAGTAAGGTTCTGGTTCTGATGTAAAGTCAAGCAAAGCAAAGATCAAGTTTTGATAAGGCAAAGCAGAGAAAACAAAATCAGGCTCTGACTGGGCAAATTCCATGCATAGCAAGCAGCACCTTGGATGATACTGTGGGAAGTTCAAATGAAAGATTCCCAAGACTCGACAGCCAGCGAAGATTAAACATTACGCTGAAGCTTAGTTCCATCCGAGCAGCCAGCTCTGTTTCCTGTTAAATGAAACATCTTGAATTAAAGAAGAGTAAATAGCTTCTTGACCTTTCCGCAAGGAGAGAGTAATTCCACTGGGGCTTTTGAGCCAGGGATTAGCAGTGTGGCTGTCCCTAGGTTGGGGAGATGCAACTCAAATGGGAGCCTTTTCCACTAGAGTTTCCTGGACAGGAAAGATGCCATTTCCGAAGGCCGTTCCTTTGAATCCTATGATGCTCCTCTGGACAGCATTCTGTGTATCCTGAAGAAGGAAAGTTGGTATCCAGAATTATGATATCAGCCATCTGTATCATATTAACACCGAATTTAAATTAGCATATGTTTTCCACTTAACTATGTGTCCCCCCCCTTTTTTTTTTCTTATTTCAGACCTCTACCCAGCCATGTTTTGAAAACAATGTATATGCATACATTTACTTTGTGGTCTTTATTATATTTGGATCATTCTTCATGCTGAACCTCTTCATTGGCGTGGTTATCGACAATTTTAACCAGCAAAGAAAAAAGATACGTACCTAGCACAGACAATCGAGACACATGAACGCAAACAGTTACAAAATCTTTCATGTGCACCCAGTGGGATTCTGCCAGTGTTGTGTTTCACACAGGGCTCAGGAAAGGTAGCAGTTGAACACGGCCCTGGGGAGGACCCAGGAGAAAGAGAGTCATCTCCAGCAGCTAATCTGTCTCGCTCTCATTTTATATATTCTCTTACCACTGTGCAATCATGGTTAGAAAGTTTGTGGAAGGACCAATCCTGTTAATCAAAACCAACAAGGGGTTTTGAGGTACCCATCTATTGGAACTGCCCCAAAGGACAGGGTCGTCTTATTTCCATAGATTCTGCAAGGGTTCTCAACCAAGGCAAACCTGTTCTCCTGCCCCAGGCATGGCTCTTTTAGTGATTGCTTCCTTCAGCCCTGCAGCCTGTGGGAGTCCAGAGATGCTCTTAGCACAGCTTCATAGTAACCACCATCAATAGTTCACTTAATGACAGAGCTATCATTGATAGTTTAGATAGCATATTTATTCTCTAATCCTTTAGGCCAGGCAGTCAATCAGATGACATGATCTGGAAAATCGAAACAGAAGTCATAAGTCAGTTTGACAGTGCCTCTGTTTCATGCCACCTGTCACAAGGTAAACTAGACAGCTCAGGGCAACAGCAGTAACCAAAGTAGCTACAAGTCCCTTAGACTTCTTGAAGCAGAAAGCAATAAAAATGACTTTATGGAGATTACAGATTCTGAGAAACAGTAGTCATTTAGAGAGCCACACAGCTCTGGTTTATTCCATGTTCTATCTAGTTTTAACTTAGTTGTAGAACTCTGGGCTAGTAATATCCAAATTGAAGAATTGTTTTCATTTAAATTAAAGAGTATATTTTAGAAGGTGTCCATCCATCCATCCATCCATCCATCCATCCATCCATCCATCCATCCATCCATCCATCTTCAGGCTTTATTACTGTGTCAACAAATATTCAAGTTGTAAAGAGCCTTGTCTGTTAAATTCTACTTATTGATATTAAGTACTTAGTTGGCTTCGGACAATTCTTGTGTTATAAATGGATTCAGATAAAAATACACTTTTAAAATTTAATAGCAGTGTTATTATTGTCTTATACCTAGGTGGAGAACTCATTTTTTTGTCCGAGGAGCAAAAGAAATATTATAATGCACTAAAAAAGCTTGGTACCAAGAAACCACATAAGACCATTCCACGACCTCTGGTAAGGCAGTCGCAAACATAATTGCATTTCCATTATTACTGTCTTGGAAAGACTTTTAAGAAATTCTAGTAAAGCCAAATATAAAACATTTTTTCCTGCATGGTTAGTATTATCACTCAAATGTATTACTCTTATAAAACTGAGTAAGAATAACCAAATTTTTAAAGATTGTGCCAAAGTCAGCTCAATTTGTCCAGATTAGCTTGAGATAAATCTGCTACCTTGAACTGCAGGAAAAATGATGAGGTCCCTGCCAGCCAACCTGTACTCCTGTCAGCTGATTAATAGGAAAGTACAAAAAATGTTATTCACTTAGGGCCTGGCCCCTGGAGCTCCTGTAAGTCCTATAGAAATAAACATCTCCTTTTCCTCACTACCTGCAAATAGGAAATCAAATACATTGCTATCTTACCATGCAACTCCATGTTACCAGAATAAGCAGCTATGCAAAGGGCAGTGGTGTGTTTAAAAAGAAAAAGGAAACATCCCAGCTACCTTGTCACTATTACGATGTTACAGTAGGTCAGTGTTTCATAACCTTGCCACTTGAAGATGTGTGGACTTCAACTCCCAGAATTTCCCAGCCAGCCATGCTGGCTGGG